ACAGAATCGGGCTGAAAATATGTATATAATAACGATTCGGCCTTAAGACGAGAGTAGAAGTCATAAAAGCAGTCAAGTCCCAAGCATATGTATATGCACACATGTGCATTTAAAATTTTTATGACATGGTTTTTCACCTTTGGTCTCTGACACAATCGTGTATCTAGAGTTAAAAAATACACTTCGGCATATGTATATGCATATACTATGGACACATGTTCGCTAATCGCAACACCTAAAACCAAGAATTACAAAACAAAAGGTTCAACATAGGGTTAAAGGCTTTCGGCCCCATACCACTCCAAATAAATCAGTGAATAAATCAGTGATAAATATCTTTGGTAAGAACAAATTCGATCGCGTTGAATATTTGGAGTTAATTTTGGCTGTTGTTTGATTGCAAATAAAATTAAAGGTAAACTGGATACACACATACAAACATACATCTCCATAAGAATGTATGCCCCTTCAAAAACAAATCTTTGTGCAAAGGTCTGTTTCAAGATTTTGAGGCTTTTGGCAGGTGCAGAGACTTACAAATTAGAAGTGATTTATTATCGCATCGGTATTCTTTAGGGCGAGCTGACATGCTGTTATTTTGTATCTTTGTACTTCAGGAACAGGAAGCTGGAGATAGAATCCTGTGCTGAGCTGGTTATAAATCAATTAAATGACTTGACTGGTTAAATTTTCCAACTGTCATTGCATGAAACTTAATTTTTGTTTCAAATGAGCTTATCCATTTAACCCACGGCACAAACTTATTTACTAATAAATAATAATTTAAGACATCTGTTAATCAAAGTGTTTATCCATCGTGGAATTGCCATTTAGCTAACTTTTAACGGAAGCCTATGCTAGGTACATATTGTCGCTACCAATTAGATTTTTAATGATCATACAAACTCTGACATTTGACTTAAAAACTTAATCAAACCGGTTAAATGCATTCAGGTTAATTTTGGTAATGTGCCACATACCTGCATATTTTTTCACACACCCAGCAATAATCTCGTATGTCATGCTTCTGCGTAGATTTCCCTTCAAGTCAGTTATTGAGCTGTGTTGATATGTAGACTTGGATTGGTCGTTGGGGTACACAATATTTCTCCATAAAAGCATCATTATCATAAGTTCGGATCTCCCCTGCCTTACGTTGTGTAGATTTAGTTTGTTTAAAGAACAAAAAGACAGGGAGAAATTTCTTATGTTTGTCCAAATAGGAGATAATAAATACATACCGACGTCTGGAAGCAGCGCTTCTCGACAATTACTAGCGTAGGGGTGAGAATGCTGCGGGGTAATGTGTCAAAATCTCATTTAATTGGTAACCACGTTCTAATGCGGCAATCATCAAAAATAAAAAAAAAACAAAAAAAGGAATTTGTAGTACGTATACGCGCTGAGTATGAAGTGTTCATACATAGTCCGTTTAGCTGACGCACCAAGATTTGGGGTCTGGTAGAGGTGAGTAAAACCACCCATGCCAGGCGATAATCTACCCGATTGTTACGTCCGAAGCAAGTTTGATGTCCATATGTCCACAGCGAGACATACAAATAGGCTGCGCCAAATGTGCGTAGCTAGAACATGCCGGCCTCACCCAAGGCTTTTCTGATGACGCGCAATTGATAGACGAACAGCGATTTGCAACGATTCCCCTTTTTTTTTTGGTACACTGTATTGCTCTAATAAAGTACTCATAATCTCGGGCCTACAAACTTGGGCAGCTACGCACGCTCAAAATATGGGTATGCGCCACGGGCCACCAGTAAAGGAAGTTGGTAAAACCTAGAATATAAAAAAGTTGTTGAATTCGGGTAAAACCCATTAATTAAAATTTACTATAGAATAATGCACAACACTTACCGTTTTCGCCCTCGTGGTTTTCTAGAATGACATTTATGCCATTCAGGAAAGTTGTAAAGTGTGCCGCTGCTGATACCCAGTGATGGAAAAATAGGTACAATTGTACCCTGTCAACTTTAAAAACTTACGTGGGGTCCACACAAGCTAATGTTGCTCAGACTATACAAATGCAGTCACCTTTTACAAAAAGTAAAACATTTAAGAAAAAATTGGTTTGCGCACGGTGAAGTACATGCAGTACGTAGCCAAATAGCGTTTAACGTCAATTTTCAATTCTAATTTCTTTATTTAGCCAATGTTTGACTATTTTTATAAATCCCTTATTGAATTGTAGAAGCAATGTGCATAAACACAAAAGATCATTTGCTGGGTGGTACATTCATATACGCAGTCAAAGTTTCTACGCAAACTAGGAACTAAATGTGACTTTCCATCACTTGGTACAGCACAGCGGGGAATATCGGAGACATCCACCGCGAACTTTTCCTCGGGCGCCCAAATTGGCAGCAACATTGAATGTTCTAATGGCGCCATCTACTGCTAGCGGGCCACATGGCTGAGAGAAAGAAAAACCAATGAACGCACCAAATAACAATAGCTGTGTTTTCTTAGGCAATGGGAACCGAATAAAATTTCTTCACGCAAATGCATCATGATCTTGACGGAGATCTAATTCAATCTATAACTCGTGCTGATTCCTTTGTTTCAATAATAATTAGTAGCACGGTTTGGTAACACTGACAAATGAATGCATAAACAAAGAGATATTTTAGCATCTAGCATCTACTTGATTCACATAAATCGCTTTAGTAAAATCACATTAGTTCCCGTAAATATGCATTTTTCACAGTTGTGTGTATTCATTTAAATAATTTTCTTCCTCGAGCTAGTAGTATAAAACAATGAGAATGATCCAGATCGGTTCCGTGAGAAATGATCGCGATAATGCCCAAAATAAACGAAGAAAACACGACTAACAATGTGAGGAATAGTTGCATATACCGGGCGCCCGTAGGTGTTGAATACTTCACACCAACCTTTAACGTTCCTGCCACGGCAATCAGACTTGATTTTATCAATTTTGATACTTCCACCGGTGTGGCCTGTGTCAACATCGGCCCCAAACCACCACCAAAGGCCAACTTTTTTTGTTTACATTGGGTGGCAGGCCATGCAACGCAAACATTACACAAATTAATAATGACAGCTCACGGATGAGCGTAGATTTCAAAAATCGATAAAATTTTATCGCTAGATAATATAAAGGAGCAAACACAATATTCAAATGCTCGGGTAATATCGTAATATTATACACCCCATACACGGCCAATTGAACACGTCAATCATAGACCAACACCAACGTGGGTTTAGAGCGCGCAAGTAATATATGCCAATTCACGGTTCTATAATTATATGATGTAATTCTCGCCACCCAACCATAAGTACCATGATATTAAGAATAAATATCAATAATAGCAATGACTTTACGATCGAAACATCGACAAAATAACCATTTTCAGGTAATAATGACTCGCTATACAATGCTAAGAAAGAAAGCGGAACGCCACGCTCATCGTTACCCGCTAGCGTGCCGGCTATGCGAGGGTAAGCACCCAATCCGTCTATGCCCAGTATATCGAGCAAAGACCCCGGAAGAGCGTTTGCGAGAGGTCCTGTTAGGGCGGTTCTGCGGCAATTGCTTGTCGATGACGCATCGTGTACAAAGGTGCACCAGCCGCGATCGATGCCGCCGATGCCATGACAAGCACCATACGACGCTGCACATCGACGAAGAGCCCGTTGACCGGAGACCGTGGAGCCAGCAGGTTGCCAGCGAAGAGGAAAGAGACAACGTCCTCTCGATATACGCGTCAGACTCCGGAACGGATTCCCGAACCCGCCGCCCTGAAATCGAAGAGGGCGAAATAATTGAGCCTGTAGCGGAAGCGAATTTTCCAATATCGACGGGGGATCGGAAACCCGGACTTTTCGACTCCCGTTAGCACATAAAAGGCGACAACATCAACGGGCGCCGCAGCGTCGCGGAGCGGAGACTCGGTCTTTCCGCCGGCGATCCGTACGCAAAAAGGCTACCGGTCAAGAAGGACAACGGCAACGGGCACGA